TGGACATCCGCAAAAACTACTTCACGGTTAGGGCGGCTAGGAGCTGGAACCAACTTCCAAGGGAAGTGGTGCTGGCCCCTACCCTGGGGGTCTTTAAGAAGAGGCTGGATGCCTACCTGGCTGGACTCGTTTGAGTCCCATTTCTCTTTTTGGGGTTTTTTGTTGTTCTCCCGCCCTGGCGGGGGGTCAGGCTAGAAGATCTACTAGGTCCCTTCCGACCCTTAATCTATGAATCTATGAATCTATGTGTTGAATTTTATTGAGGTAATCTCATTTATGTATGCTCAGACTATTGTTTTATCCCTGCCTGGTTACATCTGCTAACATATTGTTTAACCTGTGTTTTGCTGTTGCTTGTTCCCTTACCTGCTGCCTGGAAGGCCTGCTGAGGGTAGGGGCTGTACACTAACCAGGAGACCACTGGTGGTCAAGGCCTATGCTGATAAAGAGCCTTCGCTGGCCATACCCAGTTGTTATTGCCAGTGTATGTGTTTTAATATGGTTCACTGTCTCTGTAGATGTAAATCTGTAAATAGTTCATAGATGTATGTACATGTTCAATAAGATTTATTGACACTGCACTGTAAATTAAATCTGTAAGTAGTTAAAGCTTACTGGGTGTCCATCATTTCTGCTCTGCTCCGTAGGAGAGCGAGGTGAGCTGATCTAAGCTAGGAAGTCAAGCTGCCACAGCACACTCATTCCCGCTAACCAACTGAAGGGATGTGAGGGAGTACCAGCCATGTACCACCCGGGCTACATATTCATGGAGTTTAAGGCCAGATAGTATCAATCAATCTCCATTCTCCCGACAGAAGACAGAAATCGCATGTGTGGAGACACTGAAGCTTTTTCTCCTGGAGCAATGGTTACTCGAGAAGAAAAACAGCCCTAGAACAGCCAAGGTTAAATCAATCCCAGGAGAGTTTCTCCCAGGAGAGGCCTGTGCACTTTACCCAGGTTAACTTCTCTCAGGGATCAGAAGCAATGAAACTGGGGGGCAGGGGAAGGCTCCCATGCCTTCCTGAGACCAAGGTCACCACTCCAGGAAAGGCACAAGGGGCATACACCAAGGCCCAACAGGGGTTGAAAGAAGCAGACACCAGCTGCTCCCTGCCTGCTTCTCATGCCAGAGTTCCTAGCGCCACAGGTGGACAGGGGCCAGTTCCTAGTGCTCCCCATCCCACCCCCGGCACTCCCAGCACTCAACTGCATGGATGGCAAGAGGAAGCAGGATGGGAAGGAAATAGGCTGCGGAAAGTTTCCCCAAGCCTGGATCTGCACTGGCTTTTAAATCGCCACCCCTGCAACTCACCTGACCAATGGTGGGGTAGAAATGATGAACAGGAGGGGAGGATTAGCTGGTAGGTAACTAGGCTCAGAGAGCTTCTCCCAGCAGCAGCAGGGCAAAGCCCCAGCCTGCTCCTAACACTGGAGTCCAAGGAGTATGGATCAGGTGGGGGCTTTGCTGCAAGACTCAGTCCACTTGGCTCCCAGGCACTGCAGAGCCAAGTCCCCAGTGCAAGCAGCAGGCAGGGGGCTTTGCCCTGCTGCTCCAGTCCCCCTGGAAAAAGGAGAACTAAAGCAGCCCATGCAAAGCACAAGAAGCAGGCGAGATAAAGTATTACAGATGTTCAGAATCATTCCTAGCAGTGGAAATTTTCCTCCATTAGAACTGAACATTTACACACAGCATCAGAGAGATTTCCGAGAAAGCCAAAAGCTAATGAAGTAGCACTCAGATACCATAATGCTGGGACCATCTAAGAGACTAGAACAAAGTAATAATAACATTTTGATATCATAAACAAATTAGAAGCAGGAGTGACTGGCTTGTAAATAATCATTTGACTACTGAACATAAAAAGCATAATTTAGACAGCAGCAAGAAAAAGATATCCACAGTTAATTTCTAACCACATAACTATCACCCCAAACCATTTATTTTTGTAATATTATGTTTGCATTGGATTATTTCACAAAACAGATAAGTGAAGATGAAAACACTAGCCATATATACACTGCTCTTAATTTCAATTCCTGACAACACTGTTATTTGTTCTGTTACAAAAGCTACATTCTCTGCGATCTGAACCTATTTTACAAAGAAGTAAATGAAACAGGGCAAAAAGATATTATGAATTATGAACTTACGTTGTTCTGATGTAAAACTTGCAATACCCTGTTGACATTATTTAGAGCATGTACTCTGGTGGAACCACGTTCTTTGGGCTAAAAATAAGAAGTTCATGTCAAAATACTTAATAGTTCAAAACAAAATAAGCAGTAGAACAAAGTAGGAAATTTGTCTTCATTTTCTCTCAGGACTTTTTAAAGAGAAACTAAGATAAGGCAAACATCAACCACGGAGCCTGCAGGAATTTTGACTAAATAACTTTGAAAATAAGTAGCAGTCAATACATAAAATACAAAGAATACAGCATGTCAAATCAAGTCTCAAATTCAGAACGTTTCAGTTTTTTCCTATCCAACCCCAGAATTCGTAATTTTAGTGTGCTGTGAAATTCTGTATCAGTAATCTCAGTGACTGTCAACCAGGATGCCAAGGAACCCATGAGGTATGAAGAGATGAGCAAGGTGCGAGGAAGTAAGCAGGTAATGTAAGCAGATAAGCACAGGCTCAGGCTTGTCTTGTCCTTGCTTGGACAGTCTCCTACCCTCAAATGCCTGGCCTTGCAAAGAGGTAAGTACTGTAATGTATACATTTCTTTTTTTTTTTTAAATCAGGTGCCATCCTATTCAAAAAAGTTATGAAGGGGTGTCTTGAGTCTAATGTGGGGTGTCTCAACTCCAAAAAGTCTGAGTCTAACCTATTTTACTGTGGGAAGTCCCAGGGAAAGTCTGTAGATTTTGACAATGGGCTAGTTTGGTTTTTTGCTTCCGGGAAGGGAACAAGAGGGAACATGTTTTTTTAGCACTACAATGACTAGGGCCTTGAGCACTAAAGAGAAGGCAACCTTTCTCTTTCCCTTCTTTCTCCCATTGACTTCAGTGGACATTTAATCAGCTCTAAGTTGAACAACAAATATTTAAAATGAGATGTTTGTATTTAGAAATGGGGCAATTAGCAGGATATGATTTTTTAAAAAATAGGCTTAATACCCATGTGTAAAACATTATAAATGAGTCTAGGATTTTTACTGTGAATTGAAGTTAAGTACCTCATCCTGAGTTGTAGTGCCAGCTTCCTCACTTCTCTTGCAGAGGATCTGAGATAGCATTAATTTTAAATTTAAATCCAGACTATACTTCAAAAACTATCTAGATAATCTAGCCCGTTACACCAAAGTATTTAAGTATATAATTTATTTACCGTTTGCAAAAAAACAAACCAATTCATGCTCATGTGGTTGGCTGGACAGAGGTCTTCATAACCTTCAGCTCCCTGCACAGGGGCTGCAAAGAGGATGGGGCTGGACTGTTCTCAGTGCACTACTAATTTGGGCCTGATTCTGAATTTCATCTCGAAGTACAACTCTTGAGGATTTCAATAGGCCTACAGAGCACGTGTTAATTAGGAGCACTATGTCCAAACCGGCAGCCTGCGTTTGCAGCATGCAGGAGACCGGGGAGAGGGCACAGTGACAGATAGGGCGGGAAGCAGACAGCAAATGGAGCACAGGGCACAAACCAGTAAGAAGAACAGCAGATTGGGCAGGGGAAGGGGACCAAAGTGGCACTTGGGGAGGGTACAAAGCTAATTTGTGGCATACCTGCCAAAAAAGTTGGGCACTATATTAGAGTATGCGCTTTCAGTAGTAAGCAGACAAATCAAAATTAAAAAAAAAAAAATGCATGAAGCAAACAAATGTCTACACCTATCCTTCCCCTCAGTAATATAATAAATGCTTTCTTACCAATGGATTTCCCATGAGCCCTTCCAAGAGATCCAAAAGTCTCCTTCCATCCTTGAGATCTGTAAACATATCCTTAATTGGAGGCTTCCCACTCTACAGAAAAACATAACATGGAAAGAAAATGGGAAATTAATTTCAACAGCAGACACCCCTTTCAAAAGGAAATAAGCATTTTTCATCTTGTTTAAATTCACGGTGTTTATTACAAAGGGAAAAAAAAGAATTCTGCAATTTTGAGAAGGAACCAGCTTCCAGAAATAAAGCATTTCTTTCCCCTGCAATTTATCATCTTCTCACTGGTTTTTAGGGCACTGAGCTTGCTGGTTCTCCTACTTACTTCCATGCAAGTACTTCAGCACTTTGGAAAAACAAATTAAACTTGGTATTTTGGGGAACTCCTTTCTAAAGAAATGTTCTGTTCTCACTACAACTAAGCCAGAATCCAGGCCTTACACATGTAAAGGAAGAAGGGAAAACAGTAAGCCTTCATCCAATTCTTCAACCAAATTGTTACATTTTCATTCAGAAGCTCTTCAAAAACCTACTAAACTTAACAGGAGTTTTTTCCAGTGGTTTCAATGGGCTTTCAGTCAAGCCCTCAGTAAGAGGCTGAAACCTACTATCAAAATGAGTTAATCAGAATAGATTCATAGACATTAGGGCTGGAAGGGACCTTGGAAGATCATCGAGTCCAGCCCCCAGCCCTAAGGCAGGAAGTCAGCTGGGGTCATAGGATCCCAGCAAGATAAGCATCCAATTTTTTCTTGAAGGTGTTCAGTGTAGGTGCTTGAACCACCTCCGATGGCAGGCTGCTCCAGACCTTGGGGGCTCAGACAGTAAAGAAATTCTTCCTTATGTCCAGCCTGAAACAGTCTTGCAGGAGTTTATATCCGTTCAGCCTCGGGGTGCTCTGGTGAACAGACGTTCCCCCAGATACTGATGGTCACCCCTGATAAACTTACAAATGGCCATCAGATCACCCCTGAGCCTGCCCTTTTCCAAGCTAAAGAGCCCCATAGCTCTCAGCCTGTCGTTGTAAGATCTGTTTTCCTGACCTCTGATCATGCATGTGGCTCTTCTCTGGACTCTCTCAAGCTTCTCCACATCCTTTTTGAATTGTGGGGCCAAAAACTGGATGCAGTACTCCAGCTGTGGCCTCACCAAGGCCGAGTACAATGGGAGAATGACGTCCCAGGATTTGCTTGAGAAGCATCTATGCATGCAAGACAGTGTTTTGGTCGCTTTACTAGCTGCAGCACTGCACTGAAGACTCAGGTTCATCTTGTGGTCAATGATGACCCCCAAGTCTCTTTCTTCCATAGTGCTAGCCAGCATAGCACTGCCGAGCCTATAAGGATGCTGCAGGTTTTTCCTCCCAAGGTGGAGAACCTTGCATTTTTCAGTGTTAAACACCATCAGGTTCTCGTCCGCCCATTTGCTGAGCCTGTCCAGGTCAGCCTGGATCGCCCTCCTGTCTTCAGGTGTGGATGCTCTGCTCCAAAGTTTGGTGTCATCAGCGAACTTGGCCAGTCCACTTCTGACTCCAATGTCCACATCATTAATGAAGATGTTGAACAATATGGGTCCAAGGACAGAGCCTTGGGGGACCCCACTGGTCACAGGGCACCATGACGATTGACTTCTGTCAATTACCACCCTCTGGGTCTGACCACAGAGCCAGTTCTCCAGCCAGCGGATCATGGTGGACCCAAGGCCACAATTGGCCAGTTTTGCCAAGAGGTGATCATGGGATACCAGATTGAAGGCTTTGTTGAAGTCAAGATATATGACATCAATCTCTTCTCCCTTGTCCAGGTGATAGGTCACCTGGTCGTAGAAGGAAATGCGATTGGTAAAGCAAGACCTACCCACAACAAACCCATGCTGGCTATCCCTCAGGATGTTCGTGTCGGCCAGTCCATTAAGGATGGCTACTTTAATAAACTTTTCTAAGACCTTCCCTGGGATAGAGGTCAGGCCGACAGGCCTATAGTTTGCCGGATCCACTTTCCTCCCTTTCTTGAAGATAGACTGGAAGAAGGCCAATGTGGTGCCTTCAGGCACAGAGATTAACTTTTCAGTTGATATTTTGGAATCATCCCTTATCTCCTCCAGCCATATATGCACTTACATGGATAAAGAAAAAAACAGTGTCAAACTAGCAGAAGAGCTCAAACTCAACTACAGGCTCCTAATACCCATTTCCACTGACATGAGTGTACAGACCTGGCATTAGGCCATTCCATAATAATATTAACTCTTTTCCACACTTCTTTTTAGTCTCATTTCCGATGGTTCCAAATGTGAAAAAGAGATTGAAGGCAGATCAAGGGAAAGAGAGAGAAAGAGTGAGACAGACAAGAGCCCAATTGCTGCATTAGCTTCATTAATTCATCAGCTACCTGCCCACCGAGCATCTTCAATTTTACCTATGAGAACTTTTACAATCTTTGCACTCTCCTATGCCTGAAGAAGGGTGCCTGTGTCCAAAAGCTTGAAGATAATTTGGTTTGCAGATATCTAGTTGGTCTCATAAAAGATAAATCGCCTCTGCCACGAGTTCTGATACCTAGTTTAAGAAAGATATTTTCCAAAAGATTTCATTTCTGAATTTACTGGTCTCTCCCGATGGCTGGATACCACCATTTTTCAGAAAGAACCTGGTAAGTTCCATCATGCGAAGTTACACTAACTACTATATTTCCTTGACTATAAAAGCTAAATACTGGGGCGTTATCTTATATGTGGAAAATTTATAAATTTATTGCAATTTTCCAGGTATAGAATCTAATTATTAGAAGTCTGCCTTGAATTTGTCCCTCTTCTACTAATACAACACGGAAAATAAATCTGGGGGGTCAGGTAACCCCCTTGCCCTCTGCCCCCCAACCCCTGCAAACTTCATTCCCCTGCAGCCTTCTCCCGCCTCTCCTTACTATCAGACCCTGCTCTCCCTGAGCACATGAAACTTAGGAGCAAATTTGAAAAGTGACCTAGAAATACATATAACTGTAGTAATCTGCATATAGTACTGTAACAAGTAGCCAGAGGAGCCAGTTATTTTAAAGTAAAAGTGCAGCAGGCAAAGCTTGCTGTGGAAAGCTGGCTGCTTTGTAATAAGCAGCCAAGGAGCAGCCCCCAGATAGGGAAGAGGTAAAGACAGCAAGCTGCAGCAAAGGAGAGCAAGATGACCATCAAGCCAAAGCAGAAACTCCTATATGGGCCACCTGGCAAGAAGGGGTGGGGCTTTGGAGGCACATAAAAACAATGCTTGAGCGCAAGAGGTCTATCTAGCCCTGAAGGCTGCAGGGAAAAGTACTCCTGCAGGAGATGCCTGAAGCAGACAGACTGGCAGGCACCTGTGCTGTTACAAAAAGCTGCACGGAGAGAGCCAAGGGGGGCTTATGTCTCTAGTGAGACAATGACCCTGAGCTGGGTAGGTTTT